ATGGGAGGATAATGTCAGGCGGGATCTATGGGAGATAGGAGTTGAAGGAGACTGGATTTTGTTGGCCCAGGACAGGGTCCGGTGGAGGGCTTTGGTTAATTCGGTGATGAACCTTTGGGTTCGGTAAGCCATCTAGTTAGTTAGTAAAACGTGACCTCTCTCACATTAATATAAGATCAAAGGTTGTAAGTATTTGAGAAAAGAATGCTTAGGATAATATCTGCACCTTATAATTACATATTATTACGGTGATTAAATCAAGGATAATGTAGAAAGCAGTGTGTAACGCATAGGGAGATAAGAAATGCATAAAAAATTTTGTTAGGAAACCAGGAGAAAAGGAACATTTGGAATATCTGTTTCGATAGGAAAATAATATCGTAATGGATCTCAGGAAAATATAAGTTATATGTGTGGATTAAAATATGTACCGTTGGTGGCCTCATATGAAAGCCAGGGAATTTTTTTAATTAGCTGAGCGTATTATTGTTTTTTTGATTACACAGCGCTGATACCCAGAAGACAGCCATCTTTGGACCCAGCGCCGTCAGAACCGAAAATCCTTCTTAGCTAAGGGAAAATTTGCTCCTTCCTGTGGACTCTGTTTTATTAAATGTAAAACGTATTTTTTACAGTTTTATAAACGAAAGTAGGTTGTCATTTTGTATAAAACATATTCGGGATAAAATTATATCAGTTTATTTAGAAGACCATGCTGTTTCATAAGATCAGTTTTAATTTAAGTAATTTGCGTCTCACACTGAAGTGCTTACGTATTTGAACGTTTGAATATGCATACTCTGGATTTGTATGTATCCCATTTCTGTGATTATAGGATTTGGCCATTAGACTCCTTAAACTTCGCTAGCTCAAAGCATTAAATACGAACTTCGCCGTATTACGGAAATAACACAGAATCTTTGGAAGAGCTTAGCAGTGAAGAACATGTCACATTCAGTAAATCCCAATTTATAAATTACGGTATCACAATAACAGATTAGCATTATTTTGTCTTCGATTTTAAAGTTATAAGATATTAGTGTTGATTAAATGTTTCAAAAAATATTGTCTCAAGAATTAAATAAATTATCAAAGACTTTGATGCATCTTTCAAAGCTTGTAATTTACCCTCACAGCAGAATAAATCATTAATATATATTAATATATATAATATATATATTATATAATATATATAATATATAATATATATAATATAATGAATATATTGAAAGACATGCATTAAAATATAAAATAGTTTTAAAAGACAACACCTGAAGATGATGTATTACATCGAAACATGTTGTGAAATGAATGAAAGCGCTCTAATGTAACATCCTTATAGTGATGAATGGCGCAAATTTAAATTTTAAATTTTAACATTTAAATTTTAAATTTTAACATCTAAATCAAGTTTTGTGTATTGACCTGAATTTTATTATATATATTAATCAAAAAACACAAACATGACGCATGTAAACCTTAAACATGTAAACCTTAAAGAATAAATCATCTTCAGTGGTAAGTTAACAACTTTTTAGACGCACGGAACAAAATTAAAGATGGCGTCTTCTGGGTTACTACGCCGTGAAGTCTAGTAGAAGTTTAATGACGTTGATGTTTCTATCATCAGGGCGATCAGTAAGCAATAATCCGGAAGACAGCCATCTTAAGATTCACCGCCTTGAAAACCCCAAATCCATGTAACAAAATTCATAAAACTTTTTGATGTTTATTCGCCGAGGCGCTTGTAATATTGGTTCTTTGTTTCAAATCTGCCTCCGAGTATAATTAACCAAGGGCTTTTATTTTTTATCATTTATCATACCTTTCGCCCCAATTCTTTTAATTAGAGGATTGTTTTGTGGTTGTTAGCCACGTAATTCAATCCTAGATTTAGTGAAATTCCTTAAAGCTATAAAACTATACACTTCAGAACTTTCAACACTAGTACAAGAACGTATTTCACATATCAATGTACATTAAATTTCAGATTCTGCAATACAAGTATGAAAAATAATTTTACAAATTAATATACATAAACTTCAGAATTTTAAATATAAATACAAAACTTGCTTTACACACACGTAGATTATGGATATAATCACTGTGAAACACGGATGAATTTGGCTAAGCAAAGTACGAAGTTCTTAAGGTGAACAGATTTCTCATACACCAGGTAGGAATCGACTCAACTTTTCTATTAAATTGAATGCTGTTGTTGAAGTTGACTTGAAAAGCGAAAAAAGGAAACTAAGTATCTGGAAAAAAAACGTGTTCGAGATTTAACGGAAGATCCGATGTGAGAACGTTAAAGGAGGTGTTGTGAATTCTTCAGTGGTTACAGGAAATGAGTTATTTGTATGCAATATGTAAGAGTTTTGTCACATTCAGAACTGTACTTTCTCTCTTCTTAACCTTTGAACGTACTGTACACATAGTTCAGTCAGCCGAATCACAAATGTTTAACGTATTTAAGAATTTTTTCAAGGAAAAACACGATTATTAAATTCTATTAACAGAGTGACTTCTATAATGAAATCAATGTAGAAAAATAGTTTTGGAAATGTTAATGGTTTCTTAGTTAATTAAAAATATTCTCAGAAATTCGTGGAGAATCTATGTTCATTGCCGTACTCACAAAAGACCTCTTCTGGTTCTCGTCGTAATAAATGTGAATCCCGTACACAACCTTCAATAGAATATCCCGGAAATCTATTTTAATATTATCCTCCTACCTTCGCCTATAACAATTATGAGCTGTTTTATACGTGCTACATGTCTTAACCATGTGATGTTTCTTGATTTAATCATTCTGATAATTGGTTCAGAGTAAATTTTGTCTGGAGGAATTGTTGGTGATGATTTAGTTCTGGACAGGTTTTTGGAAACATTTTCTTGTTATCCGAAATTAGAGAATATATCAGAAGTACCAATAAGCAATTAGCTGATACTTAAATTCGATTTGTCTTATATTTTAATGCTGAATCTCTGTAAATGAAAAATATCTGACAAGTGACCACAAGGTCTAATTTGTTGAACTAGAAAGGTGAGATCGGGTATTTGAAACTCGTTTGGGACATTTTTACTGGCAGCGATGTAATCTGTGAATGATTTTATTCACAAACGCAATTTAAAGAATACTAAAAAATGTCTTGGCTTTTTCTTTGTTCAAAAAATTTAATGACATATACATTCATCACAAACGCATATTATTTTGTGAAATACATACTATGTTAAAAAGAAATAAAAGTTGTACTCTGAAAATGGAGTCAGTAAATTAAGTCGAAACAGTCGTAAAAATTAACGTTATTATACTCTGTCGCAGACGAAACTATCAAAATTTGAACTTCCATCGAAGTTAAAATTTCAAATGTAAAATAAGAACTTGTTATTATAATAATTATTAATTTTAATATTATTATAAATTATTCAGATTCATTATTATTATTATGATATTCCTACTCTGATAATAAGATATTAATTAGTGAATTTCAGCTGTTATTGATCAGCATGCTAGGTCTGTGAAATTAATCTCGATTCTACAGCAGAATATTGAAGTAATAATGCATAACGAGATTCTTGGTTAGACTGAACAATGTCGCACAACGAACACTGAGACTGTGAACCCGAAGATGGATGTAATTAACGCATTCAGCTCTAATTTACGATTCCAGCCCCCATCATATTGCTGTTTCTCGTCACGTTGTATTGCAAAGTTTTGTATGGATTTGCG